ATGTTGCTCAGATGCGACCCGCACTGTCTCGCAGCTCGTGTGGCGCGGGGCCAGCTCTGGCGTGATTCCCGAAGCCTCCGCTGTGGCCGCGCCCAGCCACGCACCCTTGTCTGGCCCCAGCTTGTGCAGGATAGCGTCAAAGGGGCCTTGCTCCTCCAGCGGCCGCGCCGTGTCGATTGCCGCGAGCTCCAGGCCCGCCGCCGCCGCAGCACGCAGCGTGGCGGGTGTCAGGTAGCGCTTGGCCTGTTGATTGAAGAGCATTACATGTGATGAGTTGCGGGTACACCCGCGGCATGGGCGCATGCCAGCGGTGTGCTCGCGCGACGCACACCGGGTCGGTGGCGCTGCTGCCGGCGCTGCTGTTGCTCCTGCTGCAATGTTACGCTCAATTGAGCTTTAATCTTGTTAGTGACCCAAATTAACACGCAAAGTAGCGCTGCTTCGGTGGCCTGATTGGTTGTCAGGTTGTGTGTGCACTTGCCGACACGTTGCAGGCGGCACCCACCTTCTTCGCAAGCAAAGCACAACCCACTCGATAATTTTGGCTGTCATAACGCTCCCGTTCCTCGGAGGCCATGCTCTCAAAACTGATCTGTTGTTGTTGGTCCTCTTCACGCGTTATTTTCACTTGCGATTTTTCTACGACCTTTCAACGCGCTGCTCGTGATCCAGCGAGCGCGGCTGGTGCCCCAGGGTCCCTTCCTGGAGCTGGGAGCAAACCTGTCACTGCTGATGATCCCTCGGTGCCCCACCTGGCAGGACCCACCTGGCCTGCACTTTAAGATACAGAGCTAATTGAGCTAAGTGAATGGAACCTGCAGGCAGCATGCTATTTGATTCAGGCATGATGCAAGTGCACAACCCCTGCCAAGCAGGGGGCTGGTATCACTGTACTGTAGGGGCCCCCTCGTCATTGGTCAACCTGACTTGCAGCGCCTCGCCAGCGCCACAGCGGCACAGCGTGATGCTCCAGCAGCAGGTCAGGCACTCCAGCAGGCTTACCATAAAGGACATGGCAGAATGCAATGTGAAGGAAAACACAATCACTGCCAAGTTCTTGTACGTAATGGAGAATCTCCAGGGGAAACGACAGTTGCCGTAACATCTTCGCCACGGCCAATTCGTGCCAACGGCAATGGAGAATTGCGTGCAGTGGGCAGTGCATGTGCCCGTGCCAACCAGGGTGCATCTTGCATGTGGGTGGGTCAAAACCCCATGCCGCCACAGGCTGCTGCCCCAAGGCACGGATATCATAGAATGCACGGGCCCTGCCTGCCTCCGCCTGGGGTGCGTCAGCCCACGATCCCTGTTAGTTGGGACGGGCTGCGTCAATGATGCTAGCCCACCATGCCGCCAGGGGCTCAAGCCCTGGTGTGTGCGGCCCGCCTGTGCTGTATACGGGGGTTCCTGCAGGTGTTTACGGAGGTTCCTGCAGCGCCGTTTGCATCCAAAGGAAAGAGGGAGACGCGGGCACAAAAAGGGACGCTGGCAAGCACAAGAAAGCCTGTCTGTTGATACACAAAAGAATAGGAGGTCAATCACCAAAGGATAAAGGTGCAAAAGTCAAAATCGTGCCTGCGCTGTGAGCGTGGCGCTGGCCCGTCGGTGTGCGCGCTTGCGCGCCTCTCGGTTTGAACCGGTGTTGCAGCTGCGGCAATTCCCAGGCTGCCCGCGCAGGCGCAAAGGTGCGCAGGCGACAGTGGCAGAGGCGGCAGTGTGAGCCATGAAAGGCTGCGCAGCCCGCCACGGCGCACGCCACTGGCAGGTGCGGGGTTAGCGGCATGCTATCCGGAGGGGGATCGCTTGTGCAGCTCACACTCGCGTCAAGGTCCGTGCACCGACTCTGCGCCCTGCATCGCCCAGGCACAGGATCTCCCCCCAAAAGCGCTTCAATACGCGGGGTTCAACTGCACCGTGAGAAAAAAAGAATCAGGCCGGCAGCGTGTGTGAGGTGCCCTTTTTACAGGGCAGCGGCTGGCAGCCCGAGTGCCTGTGGGAACGACGCACGAGTGCAAGAGAGACTGGGGGTGAGAGAAGCGTTCAAGCCGGAAAGCGCGCGGTGGGCGGGTAGCCATGGTGGTTGCAACGCCGAGGGTAACAAAGAAAAGGTGGTGGGGGGACAAGAAGTCGGGTGTCGCATGGTGGTGGAGAGGGCGCGGCGCGCAGCACGACGCCCCGTGGGGATGGGTCCTGGTGTGTGACGCTCGTGCTGCCAATGCACCACGCCGCGCTGATTGGATGAATGCGTGCCACCCGCGCAGTCCGGGCGCAAAGTGGGTGCAGTGGGGCGTGCCTGCCTGCGTGCCAATGCGTGCGGGAGCGCCAGGTTGCGCCTCGCGACAGGTGTGATCTTTGCACCCCAGCCGCGCACCGGGCCTGGGCCCTGCTGTTGGGAGGCGGCCTTGCCGGGAGCGCCCAAACGTGTGTCAGGCGCCGAGGCTAAGCCGCACTGACACAGTGGCCACGAGCATGGCCGGGTAGACCATGGTGTTCTGGTGACTCACGGACGACGACGCCGGCGCTGAGCCGGCGGCAGCCCTAATATTCCACGCCAACCCATCCGGCATGCTGCCACGCTTTCGGCGCGGCGCTGTCACCTGGACACCCGCGCGGCCAGCGCGCAGGGAGGTGGCCTCGCTACGCCGCTGAGCAAGCGGGCGCCGAGCAGGCGCGCTAGGTGGTCTGCGGCTCCTGGTGCTGCCTCATGTGTGCGGCGTGCTCCTGGCGCGCCACCAGCTGCAGCTGCTCCAGCAGGGCTTGGTCCTGCTGCGCGGCCAGCTGCTGCCGCAGCTTCTGCTCCAGCGCGGCCGCGTCAAGCAGCGCCTGCTGGCGCCGCATGCACTTCTTGGGGGCAGAGTCGGTCCCACACTTGCCCTTGCGCTGCACCACGCACACGGCGCAGCGCCCCGGGCGCCCCTGCTGCCCAGTCGTTCCGCCCAGCACGGCGCCGGCCGCGCCAAACGCCTCGCCGAGCGCGCACGCGTCGGGCAGGCCGCCGCTGCCCCCGCCGAGCAGCGCGCCAAACGCGGCCGCGCCGCCGCCCGGGCCGAGCAGGGCGGGCTGCAGCGTGTGCAGGAGCCCGGCGCCCGAGCCGCCTCCGGCCCCAGCTGCGGCTGCGGTCGCGGTGTCGCCGGCCGCCGCCAACTGCTGCAGGCGCTGCAGCAGGTCGGCGGGCACGCCGCCGACAGCGCCGCCAGCCAGCAGGCATGCGTCCCCCGCAGCCTCCAGCACCTGGCCGCTCGCCAATGAGGAGGCCGGCGCCAGCAGCGGCGCGGGGGCCGAGTGGGTCGCCCTCCGCTTGGCGGCCGCACCCATGCCGTGGTGTTGGTGCGCGAGGCCGCCCTCGTCAGCGTCCTCCTCCTCGCTCGCCGCGGCGCTGGCGGCCACCGCCGAGCCCTCACCGGACAAGCTGCGGCGCCGCTTGCCCCCCGCCGCTGCCGGCGCCGCCGCGGTCGAGGCCGCGTGCGCGGCCCGGCGCGCGCGAGCCACTGGCGACGCGTCCTGGCTGTGGGGGCCACCGCACTTGATGCCCGTCAGCAGCTCAGCCGCCTCCATCTCATCGTCAGCCATGCGGCCCCCAGCCGCCGCTGCTGCCCCCAACGCTGTCGCCGCGGCCCCGGGTACGGCGGCTGCCAGCGCGACCGCGGCGGCGGCGGTTGCGGCGGCGGCGCCCTCCTTGATTTGGGTGTCCCGCGCGTCGCGCTCGCTGCGCAGCGCCTCCAGGTCAAAGCCGGGGGAGGTGGGGCAGTGCGCCGGGCAGGCCACGAGGCGGCGGCCGTCAAAGCGCTCGTCGTCGCCCTCCTGTGTGCGGGTGCAGTCGCGGCCATGAGAGTGTGATTGCATGTTGCCGCGTTGTCCTGCGCGTGCATCGGCGAGCTCGGATGCCGCTGCCGCGCTCGGGTGGACCTTGGCCACACGCGGCGCCAAAAACGCCTGCGGGTGCGCTCTGTCATCGTGCCCTGCCGAGACCGCGCCTACCCACCCCCCAGCCAGCGCATGCCTCACTCACCGAGAGGTGACAGCCCATCTTGCGGGCGCAGGGCAGGTGCAGCTCGTGGCCGCACGTGCGTGCGCACCAGCACGACAGCGTTGCGCCGCGCCGCCCGCACTGTGTGCAGCCTGTGTCCATCCCGCGGCGGACGGCAGCCGCCAGGCTCAGCTGCGGGGACGAGCGGGGTGGCAGGGGTGCAGTGAGCACACGCGCGGTCAGCAAAAAAGCGGCGGCGCGCCACGACGGCGCAGCAGCACCCGCAGCAGGAGGTGTCGCAAGGCACAGCGGCGCCGATGCCGACGTGCTTCGTGCAGCCGGCCAGCCCCAGCCCCGCCTCAGCTCCCAGCCCCCAGCCCTCAAACCCCCAGCCCCAGGCGGCGACGGGCCCCTGCCCCTCACATTGCCCCTGCCCCAGCGCACCAGCCGTCCGGTGCTGTCGACAGACACCTCTGGCGACCAGAGTGCGCAGTCGCGGTGCACCCACTCCAGCTGCCCGTTCTGGATCTGGACCGGCATGAAGGGGCCCAGCCCCGCGTCGCCGCCGCCCTGGCACAGCGTGCAGCGGCGCTGCGGCTGCTCCGAGGCGGGGGGCCGGTCGTGGCTCGGCGCGGAGGCGGGCTCCTGGAGGGGGGAACGCGGGGGTCGGAGGCGGGTGCAGGCTCGCATGGGGCGGAGGAGGGGTGAAGGTTGGCGGAAAGGACCACGCCGGCAGTGCCGCGACACAGCCGGAGCGCGGTCAGCGGCAGTCAGTCGCACCTGCTTCACCGCAACAGGCGCCTGCTGCACAACTGCCTTCGCCACCTGCGCCGCCACAGTAGCAGGCGCCGCTGACGCAGCTGGCGGCGGCACGGCCGGCGCTGCCGCAGCGGGCGGCGGGGCGGCGGCGGGCGGGGCCGCTGCCGCCGGCATGCCCGCCCCGGCGGCCGCAGCTTGCGCCTGCTGCAGCGCGGTGGGCGGCAGCCACTTGGCGAGCGGGCCCCTGGTGGAGAGCCGCCCAACGTAGACCTGGCCGCCCAGCACCATGGCCACCTCCATAGACTGCCGCCCCTCATCGGTGCGCCACTCGATCATGTGCGGCGCGCCCGGCTGTGCGAGCGCCGCCGCGAGCGCCTGGTGCAGCTGCACCATGCCGCTGCTTGCCTGGCTGAGGCTGCTGCGCGCGCGCTGCTGCTGCTGCTGCTGCTGGAGCGCTGCCGCCGCCGCCGCCTGCTGCGCGATGAGCTGCTGCTGCAGAGCGGCAGCCGCTGCAGAAGGGCGCGCAGGGCCGGGGACGGGGGCTGAGCTGCCGCTGTGGGTGCTGCTGTTGCTGACACGTTTGCGGCCACGCCGAGCCGCTGCGTTAAGGATGGTGGCCAGTTGAGAGGAGGGCCGTTCTCAGTCTTTGTGGACAAGGTCACGCGGCCACCTTGTCAGGTGCCAGACTCACAGCCCGCACCAGGCTCAGCACCGGTCAACCCTGCACCGCCTGTGCTCAGCCATCCCAAGCTTTGATGCATGCAGGTGCGGCTGCGCGGCAGGCCCCCACGCAGGCACACCCACCGGCCCCAGGGTCGCTGCTGTTGCCGCCGTCCTCGTCGTCGTCGCCGCCGCCCCTGCCGCCGCCGCCGCTGCCCGCGCCCGCGAGCTGGTGCACGTACGTCTCCCCCTGCATCCAGCCCGGCGCGCGGCGCTGGCGCTGGCTGCGCTCAAGCGCCAGGGCCGGCTCGCGGCGCTCCCAGAGGTCCTCCGTCGCATCAGGGGGCAGCAGGTCGGCGCGCGCCCTCTCCTGCGGGGCCGCGACGGGACGCGCGCAGGGGGCGCATTGCTTGGGTGCACGGCCAAGGCTGGGGGATGAGGGATTTGGCACGGCTTGGGTGGCGGCGGTGCGTAGGTGGTGGGGGGTGGAGGAAGGGCGGTGCTGCCTGCTGCACCCCAGCAACGCGCGCCGGACTGCGGGACCCTAGCAGCCGACCTGAACCACACCGCACCCCCCTGTACGCTGTGGGCCCCCACCCACACCCACCTGCACGACAAACAGCAGCGCGTGCGCCTCGCTCGGCCCCTGCATCCCTGCCCGCGCGAGGTCTGCCGCGATCGCCGCCGCCGCCGCCGCCTTCTCGGCGGGGTCGGCGCAGCGCAGGGAGGGGCGCGGCCGCCAGGGCGGCAGGGCGGCCTGGAACTCGGCGCCGATGCGGATGCCCTCCTCCTCCTCCTCCCCCTCCCCGGCCTCTCCGGGAGCGGCCGGCGCGGGGCCAGCGCCAGCCGCGGCCAGGGGCGTGCCGTCCTCGCCGCCCGCGGCCTGAGCAGTTGCGCCTGCGCCCGCCGCCGCCGCCGCCGCCCCGCGGGCCGAAGTAGTGACTGCGGCGCCAGGAAGCCCCCGCGGCGTGCGCAGCTTGCGGGGCGACTGCATCCACTTGCTGTCGTCGTCCTCCCCGCCCTCGCCCTCCTCCGCACCCTGGCCGGCAGCGCCCCCGGCCGCGTCAAACACGGCCTCGCCCGGCACGTCCAGCCTCGGCGGGCGCGCGGCGGCGGCGCCGGTCATCGGCCGCTTGCGCTGGGGAGCCGTGGGCGCCTCCGCCACAGTGTCGCCTGCAGAGGCGGGCGCAGCGGCGGGCGCCGTGGCACCCCAGACGACGAGCGCGGGCGGCTCGTGCGCGACCGTGGGCGCTGCGGTCAGGCCCGTGGGGGCGTGCGCCTCCGCCGCGTGCGCCTGCTGCTGCTTGGAGGGCGACACGACGCGTGTCAGCTGCACGACGCCGTCGACGCGGCCGCTGGCCAGCTCCAGGCCCAGCCGGCGCGCCGCCTCGTCGGCGGCGCCGACTGCCTCATCGGGGCTCCCGCCCCTATCACCGCATGGCGGCAGAGCGGCGGAGGCGGCGTCCGCGGCCGCAGAGCCCTGAGCCTGAGCGCGCGGGCGCGGCCCGGCGGCGCCAGAAGGGCTGGCGCGGCCCGAGGCGTGGCCGCGCTTGGGGTGCTTGTGGTCGAGGCCCTTGATCTCCAGCCAGCGGCCCAGGGAGATGGCGGGCTCGCCGGGGTGCGCCACCTTGATGCTGTGTTGGGGTGCACGTTGCCGGGTGGACGTGGTTTGTTGTTCAAGGGCGGGGAGCCAGCAGCCAGTCGCCGTCGAGACGGCCCGGGAACGGCGCTGGCAGGGACGCGGCACATTCGCAGGATGGAAGTGGGCCCGTTGCCCTGCACGAGGGGCTGCTTGAGACGCATGGCGGTGCCTGGTCCCTTCTACTCAAAACCAGACCCGGCCACCCCTGTACACCACCCACGGCCACCGACCTGAAGCGCCACTTCTTCGCGGCGGGGATACCCGAGTGCCGCTCAAACTCGGTCGGCGACACGACGTACTCAGCGCAGCGCGGGTCCCGCCGCACCGCGCCGCAGCCGGTGCACATGCACTTGACTGCGCGGCGTTCCACCAGGTAGAGGCCCGCGTTGGAGTTGGCGCAGACCTGCAGCTCCGCCGGGACGCCCTGCAGGGCCGCCTGCAGCTCCAGCGCCTGGGTAGGCCCGTCTGTGGG